CTTAGAGGGAACATTGCTTACCTGTTGTGTGTTTCTGGAGGGACAGTCAACTTGGCTTGGAATTGTTGAATTTATGGACACACAGAAGAGATCTAATTTTGTGTGGGGGGGGTTCCCTGGTAAACAGGACCTCTGATTGCCAAACCTGACCTCATATCCTGGCTGGAAGAAGAGGAAGGGCTGTTTCTCCGGAGCTGTGATGAAGAGGAGGGGTTGGCAGGTAGGGGCTGAAGATACCTGTCTTGGGACGGTGTGTTGCCTGCACTTCCTCGGAACAGCTGGTGAATTTCTATGGCCTTGCTTATCCTCACCGTTTGCGTTTTCCCCCAAAAGAGTTAGGATGAACTGTGGATGCTGAGATGGTGCTTGTAGATCTTCAGCCCGGGGCAAGAGGCAGTTCCCTTCTCCCTAGTCTTATGACCAGTGCTCCCTCTAAGCTGTGAAGTCCTGTGAGCAAACATTCTACTTTGTGAGCTCCTGGTGTTAAACTTGTGAGCGAGTGATTTGGCTACTGCATAAATCAGTTTGCTCTGGAGCAATGCTCCTTCTAAGCAGTGGAGTCTTGCGAGCAAAAATCCCACCTTCTGAGCTACTGGCCTTAAAGTTGTGAGCGAGCGATTTAATCGGTTTGCTCTGGAGCAATGCTCCCTCTAAGCAGTGGAGTCCTGCGAGCAAAAATCCCACCTTCTGAGCTACTGGCCTTAAAGTTGTGAGCGAGCGATTTGGCTACTGCATAAATCAGTTTGCTCTGGAGCCATTCTCCCTGAGCGAAGACAAAAACGTGTGAGCTGGAGGCTAAAAAACTGTGAGCTAGCTCACACTAACTCAGCTTAGAGGGAACACTGCTCTGGAGCCCTCCTTCCTGAGCTAAGACAAAAATCTGTGAGCTGGCTCACAATAACTCACCTTAGAGGGAACACTGCTTATGGCCCCGATGCTGCGTCTAGCCTAGTATTGTCCACTCTGGAAGGCAGGGTCTTTCTGGCCAGGGTGTTTCCCCAGGCCTCTTTCGCCTGAGATCCCTTTAACTAGAGTTGCCAGGCCTCTTCGTGCCTGCAAAGCAAAGCATGTGCTTTGTGGTAGAGATATGACTCAAAGCAGTCCCCCCAAAAAAGAAGGGGGGAAGCCAGTGTACAAAGCAAGAAACAAAAAAGAACACCACTGGCAAAAAAAATACTGCACAAGCAAGTCAGCAAGTATATAATGATCAAATAAGCATAATAGCAAGTGTGATATAAATCAAATAAACATAACAAGTATGATATAAAGCAGTCCCAGGCAATGTTCCCTCTAAGCTGTGGAGTCTGGTGAGCTAAAATTCTACTTTGTGGGCTTCTGGCATTAAAGCTGTGAGCGAGCGATTTGGCTACTGCATAAATTAGTTTGCTCTGGAGCCATCCTTCCTGAGCGAAGACAAAAATATGTGAGCCAGAGGCTAAAAAATCGTGAGCTAGTTCACACTAACTCAGCTTAGAGGGAACACTGGTCCCAGGCAGCTCTCTCGTGACCAGGGTTCCCTCTAAGCTGTGGAAGTCTTGTGAGCAAAAACTTTACTTTGTGAGCTACTGCCATTAAAGTTGTGAGCCAGCGATTTGGCTGCTGCGTGAATTAGTTTGCTCTGGAGCCATCCTTCCTGAGCTATGACAAAAATGTGTGAGCTGGAGGCCAAAAAACTGTGAGCTGGCTCACACTCACTCAGCTTGGAGAGAACCCTGCTTGTGACCACCTTTTACCTCCCCACCCCCAGCATGGAGCGGTGTTGCATGTGGTGGCGAAGGATCTGGTGCTGACAGTATGCCAGTATAAAATCCAACATCTCACATATTTATTCATTCATTCATTCATTCATCCAACATATCCTGCCCTCCCCCGCCTGGCAGGCTCAGGGCGGGTTACATCAAATTTAATAAAATACAACGTATGCAATTAAAACACTGATAAAATACCACAGTGACCTTCATCCAGTGCCGTTGTCATTGACGTTAAAACCTCACAGATGCCAGCTCTTAATATGCAGTTCCGACCCATTGAGTGGAGGCCCAGTAAAGAGGGAGGGACGTCCATCGCCCTAGTTAAAAGCCTGGTGGAAGAGCTCCGTCTCGCAGGCCCTGCGGAACTGTAAAAGGTCCCGCAGGGCCCTGATCTCGTACGGGAGCTCATTCCACCAGGTAGGAATGAGGAAGTCCCAGAGTTTCCCAGGATATGTTTAAACCCTAGTCAAGATTCATCTCTTCCAATTAATGCCCGATTGCATGTTATCTGGATCTGCCCAAAAGGAAGCTGTTTACGTACCCCAACAAATGGGCAGGAGGGGTCTTGGTAAAGGGGGGGGGCTACACAGCAGATTCCCCCATGGGGGTGAGGGAAGGGAGCAGGGACAAAGCAATGATGGTTCATATCGCAGGAGCAGGCAGGCTGGCCCAGTGCACATTCGGATGTCACCCTCTCACTTCTGAGTTTGGGTTCGCTTTTTGAATGTATATTTGACCCTTTTACAGAGGCATCGATCTCATTTGTTACGAAGGCCTGATCTCCTGTTAATGTCCCAGTTTCTAAACCCTTCTCCCCCCACCTTTCCATGTTTGGTGTAATGGTTAAGTGTGCAGAGAATGTGGGAGAACCGGGTTTGATTACCCCACTCCTCCACTTGCACTTGGCTGGATGACCTTGGGCAAGCCGTAGTTCCGATAAGAGCTGTTTAAGGATCCTTTCTAGCTCCTTGTGGCAGGCTGTCCTTTCCAGTTTCAGTCTCCTTCTGATTTCTTGGGTGCATTCTGCCCTTTGGTTGATAACGGGACCAAGGAGTTCATGACCTAATTTCAGACTTTTTTTTTTTGCTGCGTGCTCATGCCAGGTATGGTAAAATGACAGTGAATGAGGAATTTACTTTTGTTCATCCTGTCTTTACTGGAAAGCAGTGAGAAATTTCCCTCTTCCTTACCCTTTCCCTCATCGTTCCTTTTATAGCTGGAGTTTACTGTCTGCTTGCCCCCCTCCGGCTTGAATTAGACTTCCGGTCTGTCAGCCACACCATAAAACAGGGGTGTCAAACATGCGGCCCGGGGGCCGGAAGAGGCCCCCTAGGGCTTCCATCAGGCCTGCAGTGGAACTGGCCATCTCCTGCTTCCAGTTCTGCTGCTGCATCATAGCTTGCTTCGCCAGACTCTCTTAATCACTCAGCCATTTCATGTTTTAACCTGGGTCCTGGACTCAGAACTCTGAGCATGAGATTTCCGTGGCAAATGTCAATAAATCAAAAGTAGGTTTGCAGCTTTACAGAGCTTAATGTTTTGAGCATGTTTTTATTTTAAGTTTTTAAAAAGATGTGTCTGTGCCCTTTAGAAAGTTTATATCTCCGCTACCTGGCATTACATTTTCTGACACACATGGCCTGGCCCGACAAGGTCTCATTTATGTCAGATCCGGCCCTCGTAACAAATGAGTTCGACACCCCTGCCATAAAAGAATCAGCCAACACAGTTGCAGCCTGTCCACTAGGTTGCCCCAAGTGATGGCCTACACAGCCAGCTCTGGAGCGGCTTCTATTGCCCTCCCAGCCTCTACAATACCACCGTCCCTAGCCTGACTGCCCATCAGAAAGGAAAAAAATCCGCTTTCCCTAGATCTAAAACTTACCTCTGTGATGTTAAAGAGAAAGAACTTCATCGTTTCAGCTTTCTTGTTCTCATTAGACTACCTTCCTCTCCATCTGCACCTTCCTTCAGACCTTCTGCCATATGATCAAGCATGAATGGCTGTCCCTCTCTTAACAAAAGCCCTTCGTTTTCCTCCCTTGTAAAGTCCTTGTCCTCTATGCCCTGTTGTTGGCCCTCCAGAGGAACTGGTTGGCCACTGAATGAGACAGGATGGTGGACTAGATGGACCATTGGTCTGATCCATCAGGGCTCTTCTTATGTTCACTACTGGTGATCACATACAGGTCTCAGCCAAAACCCGTTGAGTGCATCATTGACAGCCTATACGATGATATGCCTCTCTCATAGGCATTGGGAGGGAAACCTTTTCTTGCCTCTTAAATTTAAACAGCTTCTAACCCAGAACAAAGTCTTTCCTAACATGGACACAGAAACTGGGACCAGGGCATGCAACAAACTCTGCCCCTATGTTCATTTGGACAAGATGATCACAAGACCTAACAACATCAGACATACCATCTCAGGTTCATTCACTTGTTATCTTCCAGGGTTGTCTATGCCAGCAAATGGCAGCAGTGCCCTTCCACTCTATTCATCAGACAAACAGGTCAATCCCTACACAAAAGGATGAATGGAGCTAAGAGTGACAGTCCTTAAAAAGAGAAGCTTCAAGGAGAAACTAAATTGCACGACTGCTGAATTTAAGTTCATTCACAAATTCAGAACAATGGACCCCCCAGGACTGAACAGGGACATAGGATTCTTTTCTCACAGGTGCTAATTTTCTGCCCCAAAGCCTTTCTGTTCTGCCTCTAAGCATTTATCCTTTGTGCTAATCTAGCTAGTTACAATTTGCATGGTACCACAGCATCCTGAGTTCCTTTCCTGCAATACCCCTCCCACCCCCTGATGGGGATATAAAGACTGAGCGATCTCCATTCTGAATCAAATATGATGAAGAGAGCCTTGAATCCGAAAGCTTATACCCAGAAACCCTTGTTTGTCTTTAGGTGCTACTGGACTCAAAATTAGGTGTGTGTGGAAAGTGTCATATTGTCATACCAGGTATCCCTTTCTCTCAGCAGGAGATGTGTGGCAGTTGGCAGCTGAAGTAGAAGAACACCGATTGGTGGAAAAAGAGGATACATATTCAGATGCGAAAGAGACGTTTGAATATTCAGATGCACCAAGGAAGGAAGAGGGAAACCACCCACCTAAAGGTCTCTTATGGCGGGATGACTCACTGTGGCAAAACATATGTCATGGAGAGAACAGGAATGAGCACCCTGCAAGCAGGGAAAATTGCACTGAAATTTCAGTTAATATTCAACGGATTTGTGACAGAAAGAAAATAGATAAATGCCTTGAGGGTGGGAAAAGTTTCAAGCAGAGAGTGCACGTTACATCCCATCAAAGAATTCACACAGGGGAGAAACCATATAAATGCCTGGAGTGTGGGAAAAGCTTCAGTCGTAGTTCCAATCTTACTTCCCATCAAACAATTCACACAGGGGAGAAACCATATAAATGCCTGGAGTGTGGGAAAAGCTTCAGTCAGAGTTCAAACCTCCGTGTTCATCAGAAAACTCACACAGGGGAGAAACCATATACATGCCTGGAGTGTGGAAAAGGTTTCACTGACAGTGCCAGTCTCACCTCCCATCAAAGAACTCACACAGGGGAGAAACCATATGAATGCCAAGAGTGTGGAAAAAGCTTCAGTTTCAGTTCAAACCTTAGTGTCCATCAGAAAATTCACACAGGGGAGAAACCATATAAATGCCTGGATTGTGGAAAATGTTTCGGTGATAGTGGAAAACTTACGTTGCATCAAAGAATTCACACAGGGGAGAAATCATATAGATGTCTGGAATGTGGAAGATGCTTCCGTGAGAGTGGAAAACTTACCTTGCATCAAAGAATTCACACAGGTGAAAAGCCATATAAATGCTTGGAGTGTGGAAAAAGTTTCAGTCAGAGTTCAAACCTTCATGTTCATCAGAAAACTCACACAGGCGAGAAACCCTATAAATGCCTGGAGTGTGGAAAAAGCTTCAGTTTCAGTTCAAACCTTAGTGTCCATCAGAAAATTCACACAGGGGAGAAACCATATAAATGCCTGGAGTGTGGAAAAAGCTTCAGTCAGAATTCACACCTTAATGTTCATCAGAAAATTCACACAGGGGAGAAACCATATGAATGCCTGGAGTGTGGGAAAAGCTTCAGTCAGAGTGGAAAACTTACTTTGCATCAAAGAATTCACACAGGAGAAAAACCATATAAATGCCTGGAGTGTGGACAGAGATTCAGTCAGAGTGGAAAGCTGACTTCCCATCAGAGAATTCACACAGGTGAGAAACCATACAAATGCCTGGAGTGTGGGAAAAGGTTCACTGACAGATCAGCTCATACTTCCCATCGAAGAATTCACACAGGGGAGAAACCATATAAATGCCTGGAGTGTGGGAAAAGCTTCACTGTAAGTTCCAGTCTTACTTCCCATCAGAGAATTCACACAGGGGAGAAACCATATAAATGCTTGGAGTGTGGAAAAGGTTTCAGTCAGAGTTCACAACTTTCTGTTCATCAGACAGTTCACACAGGGGAGAAACCATATAAATGCCTGGAGTGTGGGAAAAGCTTCAGTTGCAGTTCACACCTTAGTGTTCATCAGAAAATTCACACAGGGGAGAAACCATATAAATGCCTGGAGTGTGGAAAAAGCTTCAGGAAGAATGGACACCTTGCTTCTCACCAAAGGACTCACACAGGGGAGAAACCATATAAATGCCTAGAGTGTGGGAAAAGATTCAGTGAGAGTGGAAAACTAACTTTGCATCAGAGAATTCACACAAGAGAGAAACCATATAAATGCCTGGAGTGTGGGGAAAGCTTTACTGGCAGTTCCAATCTTAAGAACATAAGAACATAAGAGGCGCCAATGTTGGATCAGGCCAAAGGCCCATCCAGTCCAACACTCTGTGTCACACAGTGGCCAGAAATACCAGTGCCATCAGGAGGTCCAGCAGTGGGGCCAGGACATTAGAAGCCCTCCCCCTGTTGACCCCCCCCCCCCCAAGCACCAAGAAGACAGAGCATCACTTGCCCCAGAGCCCTTAGCTATACCTTGTGGCTAATAGCCACTGATGGACCTCTGCTCCATATGCTTATCTAATTCCCTTTTGAAGCCGTCCATGCTTGTAGCACCCACCACTTCCTGTGGCACTTCCCATCAAAGAACTCACACAGGGGAGAAACCATATAAATGCTTACAATGTGGGAAAAGGTTTCGTCAGAGTGCACACCTTACTTCCCACCAGAGGACTCACAAAGGGGAAAAAAACTGCAGTGTGATAAGAGATTCATCTTTCTTCCCACCGAAGAACATAGGGGAGAAGAAATATAAATGCTTGAAGTGTGGGGAAAGCTTCTGTTGGAGTAATCAGCTGACATACCACCAAATTTACACAGGGGAGAAACCATATGAATGCCCGGGGAAATGTGGGGAATGTGGGAAAAGCTTCAAGATTAGTACACAACTTACTTCCTATCAAAGAATTCACAGGGGAGAAACTATGTAAATGCCTGGAGTGTGAAAGAAACTTCTGTGAGAAAGTCTTATTTCTCCTCAAAGAATTCACGCAGGAGAGAAACCATACAAATGCCTGCAATGGGGGAAAAGGTTCCATCAGAGAGCACACCTTACTTCCCACCAGGGTAGAGGAAATATTTTTCAGATTCATGGTGTCAATTATATTTATGAATGTTTATGCATTATGTGTTTTCATAAACTCTGTAAAGTTCAATTCCTGGTCAGGAAAAGTACCAAAAGTTCAGGACCACCTCTCAGTCTTGACAGTTTATTAGTATAACTGAAGAAACAGGAGAGTTATTGCTCTGGAATTACGAACAACTGCTGTCTTTTGTCTTATAACCTTGCTTTGAGGATTTAATGGCAGTTATCAAGATGTATTTTAGTTCACCTAATATAGTTACTAATTTGCATAATCCCTCTAGGGTCCAATTGTTTTATTTGGAGAACAATCACATGTTCAAGTTCAAACGTTTTATTTCTCTTCCTCTGTTATCTCTATCAAAAGTGTCACGTAAGAGTCTAAACAGGCTTTCTACTGGTGGCTTCCAGTCAGAAAAGACCTTCTACTGAGTGAGCACATCACGTGCGCCGGGCTTCCCACTGTACATAGCCTTCTGCATATCGACATAAAAATGGACTTGCCTAAATCTTAGAGAGTTGTAATGCTTATATATTTAGCTAAGTCTGAGAAATGTTAGTAGACCTGATTTATATCGCATGCATTTTCCTGTACCTGTACGACTAACTTTTGCCTGTTCATCAAATTTTTGCCTAATGCTTTATTTTAAATGAAGTCATAATCTCTAAGAAATTTACTGTTTGTTCTACTGACACAAGATCTGACCTCAAATATTTCATTGAACTGGAAGAAGAAGAAGAAGAAGAAGAGGAAGAGGGGGAAGAGGGGGAAGGGGAAGAAGAGGAAGAAGAGGAAGAAGAGGAAGAAGAGGAAGAAGAAGAGATTGGATTTATACCCCGCCCTTCACTCGGAGTCTCAGAGCAGTTTACAAACTCCTTTCCCTTTCCCCACAACAGACACCCTGTGAGGTGGGTGGGGCTGAGAGAACTCTGACACAAACTGCTCTTTTTCAAGGACAGCTGTGCCAGAGCTTGTGACTGACCCAAGGTCACATCAGCAGGTGCAAGTGGAGGAGTGGGGAATCAAACCCGGTTCTCCCAGATTAGAGTCCACACATTTAACCACTACACCAAACTGGCTCTCATATATGTCTCTCAGAAAGTTTGCTAAGTTCGACCCTAATGGGTGATTCTGCTTGAATAGATGTTCTTATTAGGCTTAACTGAAGTGATTGACCATTACGTACAAAGCCCGTCACAGCCTGGGTCACAGGAGCACGGATGGCTTCAAGAGGGAATTAGATAAGCATATGGAGCAGAGGTCAATCAGTGGCTATTAGCCACAAGGTATAGATAGGGACTCTGGGGCAGGTGATGCTCTGTCTTCTTGGTGCTTGGGGGGGAACAGTGGGAGGGGCTTCTAATGTCCTGGTCCTACTGGTGTTCCTCCTGATGGCACTGGTATTTCTGGCCACTGTGTGACACAGAGTGTTGGACTGGATGGGCCTTTGGCCTGATCCAACATGTCCCTCATTATGTTATGTCCCTCATACCTGCAGAAGTGCTTCTGCCTCTCTGCTCCACCAAGACAGCTGGGGCTCCTCTGAGCAGGGCCTTCTGCAGGTGGCTCCCTGCAAATGAGCAGAATCAACAACTGCCTGTTCCTGTGCACCGCTGCCACCATGTCTGGACCAAGGACAAACACTCTCCCGTTCTCAGGCGCTGAGCTCACAGCCACCTGTGGCCCTGGGATTCTCACTGGGTCCTGGTCCTTTGCTGAGGCTCCTTTTCATCTGGGTTCCCCTCAAGGATGCCTAGCAAAGCGATTATACCATCCAATACGAGGATGGAATAGCCTGCCTGAGGTCAGGAAGACCACCATTCTTCTGACTTTCTGCAAATTATGCAATGAAATGCTTTCAGAAGGACGTTTCAGCAAAGTACAGGGACTGCTGTCTGGCCTACGGCGTCTGGCATATACTGCCATAAGCATGATCATTCTATGTAACTCCTGTACCATTAGACATGACATATAGATCCTTATGCTTGGATTCAGTGTTTTTTTTTTCCAGATCTTCTGCTCTTTTTCTTTTCCCCCCTGATAATCCCAACTTCTATTGTATCATTTCCTGGATATCCCATTCCTGTTGGTGTAAATTGTCTGACACTGTGTGATCCTCCTTGAGTCTCAGTGGAAAAGACAAATCGGAAAAGACATAAAGAAGAAAAAATGCTCAAATCTGACCTACTCCCAGGAACCCCTGGGAGGTGTTCTTGAAAGGAGCGGTTTCTGTCAAGAGCTCTCTCAGCCCCACCTACCTCACAGGGTGTCTGTTGTGGGGAGGGGAAAGGAGTTTGTTAACCGCTCTGAGACGCCTTTGGGTAGTGAAGGGCGGTGTATAAATCTAATATTTTCTTCTTCTTCTACCTCACAGGGTGTCAGTTGTGGGGAGGGGAAGGGAAAGGAGATTGTAAGCTGCTCTGAGACTCCTTTGGGTAGTGAAGGGCGGGGTATAAATCCAATATTTTCTTCTTCTATCTGACAGGGTGTCAGTTGTGGGGAGGGGAAGGGAAAGGAGATTGTAAGCTGCTCTGAGACTCCTTTGGGTAGTGAAGGGCGGGGTATAAATCTAATCTTCTCTCCTTCTACCTCACAGGGTGTCAGTTGTGGGGAAGGGGAGGGAAAGGAGTTTGTAAGCTGCTCTGAGACTCCTTTGGGTAGTGAAGGGCGGGGTATAAATCCAATTTTTTCTTCTTCTACCTCACAGGGTGTCAGTTGTGGGGAGGGGAAGGGAAAGGAGTTTGTAAGCTGCTCTGAGACTCCTTTGGGTAGTGAAGGGCGAGGTATAAATCCAGATTTTTCTTCTTCTACCTCACAGGGTGTCAGTTGTGGGGAGGGGAAGGGAAAGGAGATTGTAAGCTGCTCTGAGACGCCTTTGGGTAGTGAAGGGCGGGGTATAAATCCAATTTCTTCTTCTTCTTCTACCCCGACACCCCAGAAGATGATAGTTCCTGCCACTTAGAGTCTGTTTTTTTAAACATTACGGGAAATCCAAACGTTCACCCAAAAGCAAATGCAAACAAGTCAGAGATCAAAGGCCTCATCGACTGGATGAACCCCTGAGCCGACCTAGAAATACATGAAGCTTTTAAGGACTGCATTCAAAGCCTGATGCTCACAATGCTCACAGCTCATAGGCAGAGCCTTTTATATCAGCACTGTACTGTTTTACTGGCTCCTGCCCCAATAAATTCGATTGAATTGAATTGAGATCATCTGAGAAGGACGCCTGAGTCCATTCATTGATATAAAGGTCATGGTGCCTTTGCACTGAAAAACATTTTTTGGGGGGGAAGAGTTAAAGAGAGAGCAAGAGCCACCGTCCTAGACAGGCACATTGGGGGGGGGGGTTTGGGGGGGGGCCTGCAAGGGAGGCATTTCCTCCTCCTCCTCCTCCTCCTCCTCCTCCTGCTGCTGCCGCTGCTGCTGCTGCTGCTGCTGCTGCTGCAAGAAAGCGCCTCTGGCTCGCGGGCTTCTGCTTGAACTTCTGGAGGGAATCTGGTGAGCTTAAAGAGGTTTTGGAGGGGGAAAACCGTGGGTCGGGAAGCTGCAACGCAAGACCCAAAGCAAAGAGCAAGGAGGTGGGGGTAGCGGGCTGTGAGTGTGAAAGAGAGCCCCTCCCCCCCCCCCAAAAAAAGTTTCTTCCTTGGGTCCCCCCCTCCCACTCCTGCCCCACGGAGAGCCGCTTGTCCCCTTTGTGCAGAGCCACGTGGTTCCCGCCGTGTGGACTCGAGCGCAGGATCCGAACCTGCCTCCTTTGGAGTTCAAGCGGCTCCCAGAGGCACATTGAGGAGGGATCTACTAAAAGGAAGGACAGGATTGCCCATTGGAAACAATGGGAGACGCTGGAAGGCTCATTGGAAATCATCCTGTCCTTCCTTTTAGTACATCCCCATTGAGGAAGGAGTTGGGGGTGTTGAGGGTGAGATTTGGGGGGAGGGGAGAGAAGGAGGGAGCAGGTGAAGGGGTGGAGGGCTGAGGGGGAGATTTGGGGGGGGTCCGAGGAAGAGGGGCTGAAGGGAAGGCTGGGGGGGGGGTTAATGGGGCCCAGGGACTGTGTCTCTGGACCCTCAGAAGAACCACAGGAAACAGAATCCGAAGAGTGCAAAGGAGGTTTTTCGGAGGGAATCTTCCTCCTGAGCATCGAAGCTGTGCCCCCTTCTGTCTTGGGGGAAATGGAGGCACGAGGGTCGGCTCT